TTGGTTTTGTTTTCNTCGAGAAAAACACAAAAAAAAAAAAAAAAAAAAACACGACACTTTTGAAATTCTTTTACCTCATATCTCCACAACAGGAGCACTTCAGAACATAATTCAAACAGAGTTGGGAAGCTACAGTATAGGGCTACAACTTTCGTTTTTGACCATTTTTGGTAATTGGTCATGTGACCATCATCTCAACATCCTCTTACATGGACCCTGATAGGTAAAGTCATTCTCCTCTTGGTTTTCTTCACTTTTTAGTCAAACCAGGTGATATTTCCCTTTGGGGATGGACCCTGAAGTGGACCCTGAAGGCAGTGCCTGATGTTCTGTATTCAAAGCATTCATGCCCTGGGTATCCATTGAAAAATCACAATGAAATGCACAGGGCCACATTTGGAAAATCGCAATGAAATACCCAGAGCTACACACTTCAGTCACCCACTGACAACTGACTGTTAGTCTTGCAAACTCCATGAATACTACGGGACTAAATGTCAGGGTGTATATCTATAGTGTATATATTCTGGGCTTGTATATCTCCACTTTTACCTAAATATATTTTGTTGTCCAATGTCACACTAAATATATTTCTAGTGTGTCACACACCCCAAAATATATTTCCTCACTGGAATGGACTCTAAATATATTTCTTATGCCTGGACCCTGAATTGTGACTGTCACAATGTAGAAATATATTTCTTGTCTGGGTTGGACTTGGGATATATTTTGCAGCTAGGGTTGACTAAGGATATATATTTTCAGCCACAAGGGGTGTCTGGGGTCCTATATTTAAGAGCAAAACTTGGGATTTTTTTAATATAGGGGACAGGGGATTTACCTATTATTTTGTAGACAGAATACCCTCATTGGGATGTTTGTTGACAGATATTTACCAATGGGTTTGACCCATGTGTAGTATATGCATTGATGTGTGCACTATTTCCTAATTGGGCCATTTCCTAATTGGGAAAAGCGTTACATTTTTTTCTGCCACACTTGATGTCAGGCACAGTGCGCATTTAGGTTGGGAACTGTTTCCCACGCTTTTTGGGCCAGAAGAATTAATGGTTAGCATGGTGTGGTCATTGTTAATGATGATGTGTGCACTATTTCCTAATTGGGCGACTTCCTAATTGGGAAAAGCATTACACTTTTTTCTGACAGACCTGATGTCAGGCACAGTGCACATTTAGGTTGGGAACTGTTTCCCACACTTCTTGGGCCAGAAGAGTTAATGGCTAGCATGGTGTGGTC